CTAAATATATATGTAGTGTAATTAAATTTTACTAAATTTGCTTGAAAAATCTAAAATAATATTGTAATATTTTAAAAATTAGGTTTACTAAAAACTAATTCAATTTTAATAAGTTACTAAAAATATTCTAAAATAAGTTTGTTTTATCAATCTATTAATTTATTTAAGGGGCAACTGCAAAATGCTATTTTTGTTGTGTACATTTGTAAAAATGTCACTTAGAGGTGTTTATTTACAAAAATAGAACTAATTATGGATTTTTAAAGCATAAATCTTAAAATTATATCCCCTAAAAAATGTTTTGACCCCTAAAACTACTAAAACCCTCGAAACTAAACTCTAATACAACATAGTTAACCCAAACATAAATGATATAATGAAATTTGTTTTTCTTTAAATGACATTTTTACAAATTAGTTTTTCTGTTTTTTTAATTATTATTTTTGGATCTGGATCCGATCTAGCTCTAATTACTACTNTATCNATTTCAAAATATAAGATGTTTTGGAAGGTTTTTCAAAATGTAAGATGTTTTGACAATACTAGGTACTTTTTAATTTTATTAAATATTTAATGAGCATTAGTATTTTGCAATATTTTTGTGATTGGTCAATAATAATTAACCATTTAAGTTTGAAAAAATAATTACTTTTTTAGAAAAATTTAGCAAATTCAGCAAATTATGCTGTTACCATTTAAGTTTGATATTATTCAGCAAATTTTGCAAGAAATCAACAGTAATTCAGCAAATTCTGCAATTCAACAGTAATTCAGCAAAAATTCTGCTGTTACCATTTAAATTTGATATTATTCAGCAAATTCTGCAATAAATCAACAGTAATTCAGCAAATTCTACAATTCAACAGTAATTCAGCAAAAAAATCTGCGGTTATCATTTAGATCCAAAATAAAGTTTACAGTAGAGAGTACTTACTTATTCCAACTTACAAACTGATCATACCAACAATAGAAGAAAAGATAGGAGGATAATGCCGAATGAAGAGCAAGTGAGTTGAGGTCGATTTCCAAATTCATCACGGCGGGATAAAAATGAATGTTGTAGGTCCTTCACAACATGGAGTTAATGAAATCCTGTTCGGATATTGTTGCTACAGACTTTGTGATTTATTCCTCACCAACTTAAGTATTCGATTGTACACCATAGATGTTGTCGAAGTTAGCCCCTGATGATATCTTCTATTCCGCTCCGTCCAGAGGCCATAAACACACGCGTGCCAACCCTGCAGAAGAGCTAGATTGATGCATGTGGCTGATGTTGCCATAGGTAATCAATGTAGGATATCATCCCACGAAGTAGGCGGAAAGACTGTTGTAAGTTTTCGGACAATCACTCTCCAAACTTGACTTGAGTAAGTACAGTAGAAGAATAAATGGTTTCGTGATTCATTTGCTACACCATAAAGGAGGCAAATTTGTTCCACATCCAAGTTCCACCTATGAATGCGATCAAGAGTATGATTCTGTTCAGAATGAATAACCAAACCAAGATAGCATGCTTAGGAATACGTGCTTTGTGCCACACTAGAGGAGACCAAGTCACTATCTCTCGTTTCTCTCTCAGAGATTGCCAAGTCTGGCGTGAAGAGAACTTCTTTTGAATTACATCATCAATAACCCATTGTGGTGAATCACTGTTCGAAGTCAGTCGGATTGTGGAGATAAAGTATGGAGTTGCACTTGTTTTTCCGATCTCGTCAGAGGTAACACCTATGAATCAAAGGAGATAACATCACTGATCGTGTTGAATAGCGGAATGCCTAACGTTGAAGGACCATCGGAGCCGAGGAAGTCGATCAATGAGCCAAATGGTGTCCAAGAATCCCACCAAAAGAAAGTATCATCCCCATTCCCTATCTTGATACGGTTGAAAGAAGAAACCACTTTTGTCAACTTTAACAGTTTGAGAAACATCCAAGAAAACCGATTGTTCTTCTCATTCAACGCCCAAAAAGGAGAGTGGGAGAGATATTTGGTCCTTATCCAGGCGACCCAAATTGAGCCAGCTCTGAAATATAGCATCCAGATGAGCTTGATTCCACAAGTATTGTTCCAACTTGCTAGACTCCACAAACCTAGGCCCCCTTCTTTCTTAGGATAGTTTAAGTGTTCCCACTTCACCTTAGCTCCTCTCCCGGATTCCGACGATCCATGCCAGAAGAAGGCACTTGATAATGTATTAATCCTTTTTATGACCTGTTTTGGAAGTAGAAATGCCGAACTCCAAAATCCAATAATTTCTCAGATTACGGAGGTAAGTAATGTTTAGTAGTGGGTCACAATCACCAATTGAAAGCCTTCTTGTACAAAGTGGTAAACCCAAGTATCGGATTGGTAATGGTTGAGATTTCACACTAAATTTTGCCATGATCCGCATCTCTGGAATTCCTAAGCAAAACATTGATGTCTTTGATATATTCAAAAACCTCGAACTGTTTCAGAACGTCAACTTCAATTGATTCCAAAGTTCCATCAAGAAAAATTAGGAGATCGTCTCCAAAACATAGATGTGTAAGACATAATTCCTCACAACCTGGATGATAGTTAAATCTCCTTTGAGCCGCGCTCTTGTTTAACATGTGCGAGAGGATGTTCAATGATAAGACAAAAAGAGCCGGAGATAAAGGGTCACCCTGCCTTAATCCTGTTTTTTCTTTGAAGTAACCAGAAGATGTTCCATTAATTCCAACAGAAAAAGATGGCGAACATATGCAGGCTTTAATTGCATTGTAGAAGGAAGGAGGAACCTGGTAAGCTTGCAACAGAGTGAGGAGA